TCCCCCCTCCCCCCGCTGGGCACCCACATGGCAGCTGCCCCATGGCGCGGGTGGGCACTGCGCGCTGTCTGGGAGCTGGGGCAGCTTCAGCAGTCAGCCGGAGCCTGGCAGCGCTCAGCCCCAGCTGCCAGACAGTGTGCAGTGCCCTGCCGAGCTGCGCTGCACCCGTGCCATGGGCCAGCTTCTGCGAAGGTGCCAAGCGGGGGGACGATCCCCGCTGCCTTGCGCTGCACTGGGGTGCTCTGCCATGAGTGCCCAGAAGCTCCAATCGCTGTTCTTGCAGCCGGTGAGTGTCGGGCTTATTAAAAAAAAAAGGGAAAATGCCAGGACTAGGCTGGGGCCGGGCTGGGGGTGGGGCTGGGCAGGGCAGCCATGGGGGCTTCTTCTGCAGCTCCCCCTGCCCGGGGAGAGGCAGACACAGCCGGAGGAGCTGCTCGGCTGTGCCTACCTCTCCCTGTCCAATCTGAATCACCAAATCTGTTTGAATCAGCACCGAATCTTCCAAAGCTTATTCGGCGGAATCGATTCAGAACAGTGATCTGAATCGAATTGCTATCCTCTGAATCATCCAGATCTGAATCTGTATTGAATACTTCCCTATTTGCACAGGCCTACAAAGCATCCCCTGCCCAAGAGCCAACCTTCCCTTCCTTTAGGTAGACTTGTCCTGCTGCACAGAAAGGATGCATTGCCTATTTTCAGCTGGCTGCTGAGCTCTCACTATCCAGTTTATGCAAATATTGCCTGCTGGCCTTATAGAAGGGGGAAAATCATACAGTGAAGAAAAGAGGAAGAAAGCTGTCTTTTTATGTGTTAAAATAGGTTGTCTAACTATTGGAATCAAGTTTTTCCTAAATTGAAGCCTTGCACTTTAGAAGAGAATCAGTGCCATTTATATATGGCAAGAAGGGGTGTTAGCACTTACAGCTGCACGTCAGACCATGAGGCAGATGGAATCGGAAGCATCTTTTATCATATTTTGGAGAACTGAGATTTTAAGATGTGCTTATTGTTTAAATTTAGGATTTAATTTGAAGATAAGCTTTTTAGGAAAGACAACATTCATCAGTGGCAGTGAGCCAAGAGGTTGATTTAAAAAAAAAACCTCGAAAATTGACTTCAGCCAGCGACCCTGGGTCCTTTAAGAAACACTAGCAGCCATCAAATGTGTCTGTATTTGGGAGCTGAGGGGTTCTGTTTACAAGATTGCCTCTGCTGATGATTTCCAGGCCAGATTATATATGTTTACATTGTCCACATGTTCCTGGCAAGCTATTTTAAAATTTATATGCAAGAGAGCACTGGCAAATGGCAGAAGGTCCAACCTGACCATCCATCCATCCATTATTTTTATTTTTAGTGACAGGAGTTTTTGTAACAGCCATTCAGCAATGTGTTAAAGCATTTGGACATTGTCACCTGAAGGTAAACAGAAAAATACACCATTTAAATTTCCCTGTGGGTTTTATAGCTTGCACTAGATAGTTAGGACCCCAGTGCTTC